AAAAAAAAAAAAAACCCAGAATTTCTAATCACCGAGACATTTCAAAGGTCGGTACAGTACTTTAAGAAAACCATACTTCATTCAGAGTACTGAAGGATTGCATGGTGAAAGACTTCTCTGGAGACCTGAAGATCCACGAATTTTTTTTTGCGCAGCTGGTGCTGGGGGAAAGCTCGCTGTGCATCCTGTAATATTCGGAATCATTTCTGCAGGATTAGCGGTGATACGGCTCGTACAAAAGATATTCACTGTCTGGTGGCGCCACATCTGAAGAAGAGCCTTGCGAAGCGAAACTGGAAGAAAGCATTCAATGCAACGGCAGCCATTCGGCAGCTACAAATGCTTCGACTTTCTGCAATATCCCAGACTGCGTCCACGTCTACGTCCAACGCCGATGATGATACTCATCGGCCAAATAGCCTTCATGATAACCACTGGGTTGATTCATAAAAAGCACAGTTACGCGCCACTTTGTGTAGCTCAAACGGCCACTGTCTAGTGCTATTCCGGCAAAAGGTTGTTGGGCGCTCAGTTAAAATAACTTCTCCCTTGACCACTTTTTTATTTTTGCCGTCCTTTCAACGTCGCCTGATCTTTTTTCTCTGGCAGTTTATTCCCACACGTAAACGCACGTGATTTCTTAGCTTAGTTCTTTGCCTAGGATCTCATTTTCTTTCATTTTCCCTCGCGGACGAATTAATGCTTCCTGACGTGACTGCTAGTCAGCAAGGTGCGTTGTTGGCTTCGTTACGGATCACCCAGTAATACTTTCGTTTTTGTCTTGTTTCTGTTCTCGTTAGTCCGTACATGTGCTTGAACCACTCTTCAAGAGCAGACTGTTCCGTTTGGGGCATCCCTAGGATCCAGGAAGCGAGTTGCTTGTCAAATTTACTGGCTCTTTTTTATCGCCTTAAATCTCTTGTAACACAGTTTTTGGCCCCCTCTAAGGCAGCGAGTGTAATCGTTCGGCGCTTTTCGACCTGAATTTCTTGTGTTGAGATCCGAATTTTGGTCAGTTTATAATTCAAAAACAAATTAAACTACGGACTTGAAGTATTTGAAAAATTGAAATCAGCGATTCGAGTTTAATTGATCCTGATCTGTGAAATACGTCATCAAATACGACCTGACTTCATAAATTCTGAATAAATAAGCCTCGGAATGAAGTGAAAAATTTGTTTAGTTCTGGTTCATCACCATCTGATCACTTTTCAATCCTGATGTTTGCAGTTCTATGACCATATCTATATTTGGATACAAATGCGGTATTTACAGACTTATGCTGTTACGTCTGGACTTGGGCTGAGGTTATAGGTTTAGAATGAAGCAAGCCAGAGATTCGAAATTTACATATTCTTCGAGTGCATGACGAGTTCGTGAGTCATCATCACAAATTTCTGTCTTTATTGTCCAGTTGATCGCCGGACATCCGCAGTAGTAATTTTTGGCAAAGCAAGGGAAAATTCAAGCGGCATATCTGCAACTTCCTAGATGTAAATACCGTCCCAGATATTGAGATGTGTTGTTCTGGATGTGTTTTTTTTTTCCTTCATGAATTTTTCCAGATGTTATCATTTCTAATGCAGTTTTCTCGGCAAACAAAGTTCATCACATACACACACACAAATAATAATAAAAATGACAAAACTCAACATATGTTCGAGGATATGGTAGGGGGACGGAAGGAGGTGCGACGATGGCACAGAGGGATAGCAATGAAATCGAGGCGTTCCTATTTTTCCTGCCCACTGCCACCGCGCTCATCCGTAAATCAGGCAAAGAGAACGATGATGATGCACGCACATTCCATCATTGAAGCAGCTGCAGCGATGTAATAAAAATTCATATATCAAGATGTTGTGCAACCAAAAAAAACCTCCTCAGCGTTCCGTAAAATCCAAAAAATTTTTCGGGAAAGGGGTCTCCCTGGAAATGACTCGGCCAAACCGATCCCTTCTGATATTACTTAGACAAATCACTGGCGACGCGCACTGGGGGGCCCCGTGCGATCATGCGTTTTTGCAGTGTTTCGTGCTG